TGAATCACAGTACATTGAAAATCAAACCTGTCGTTCAGGCTGAGAATGCAGCATTTCAAAGATTTCCATACCCTGGAGATTTAACTTTCACCTGTTATGAGGATGATATCTGGGCAGCTGCATAAATTTTTGGATTTTAAAGAGACTGCTTTCCCTTGTACAAAGCTGAGGCTTTCTCTGAGCATTAGAAGACAATGAGCAGCCCATGTGGGCCTCAACCTCCCTCCTGCTGTCATAAACACAGGTTAGTCATTGACTCTCTGATGTTTAAAGAAGATATCCAAGAAAAATCACTCAGCTGGAACATGGGGGAATGGTGTTGTGTTGTCTCTATTAGTGCATGAAATCAGATATTGAAAAATCTGTCTGGTTTCCGTAACTTTGGGTTTGGAATTAAATTGCTACAGCTTATTTATGTGCAGAAATAAGGTCAGTAGATCATCAGGGGGCTGAAAGATTGTGTTTGACTTTCTCTGTTTGATCTCTGAAGGCCTTTACTTCAACTGGAACCACCCTTCTCCTTTTCTTGTGCAGACAATACTCCTTCCTTCCTCCTCTGTTAAGAATAACTGTGAACAAATGGGAAAATCTAAGTTGTGCTAATAATAAATTAAAGATTTTAAAGAAATCTTGGCTAATCAATATAATGTAGTTAAGTATGTAATTACTGAAGACTAGATCTGGTGAGCCTTTATAGGTTTTGGAACTGGAGTGACAATTGAACATGAATAGTTTTGGATTACAGAGCGTTTTCATGTAATTTCTTCCATGGTCTGTTTTTCCAAAAGTAATTCTGCACATTTGACTCTGCATTTTACCCAAGTTTGCAGAGTATCAACCTGCTTATGTCTTGGGATGATGGTAGATGGAAAGCATTCCTTCTTACCTCTCCAAGCATGTGCCCAGGCACCTTACAAGAGAAAAAATAAAGCTCTCCAGGAGCCATGAAGTCTGGGCTGTCACAGTCACAGCTTGCTCTGCTCTTATATTTTGACTATTCATAATATGCACCAAGTGCAGCTCGTTGCCATTAGTGCACTGATGTCAACTTTGGGGTTGTGTTGCACCCTCCCACTCTGTGGTGTTCATAGAATCATCAGGAAATCACAGACTGGTTTTAGTTGGAAGGGACTTTAAAGATTATCCAGTCCCACCCCCTGCCATGGGCAGGGACACCTTCCACCAGCCCAGGTTGCTCCAAGCCCTGTCCAACCTGGCCTTGGACACTTCCAGGGATCCAGGGGCAGCCACAGCTTCTCTGGGCAACCTGTGCCAGGGTCTCCCCACTCTCACAGCTGAGAATTCCTTCCCAGTATCCCATCCAACCCTGCCCTCTGGCAGTGGGAAGCCATTCCCCCTTGTCCTGCCACTCCAGGTCCTTGGAAATAGTCTCTCTCCATCTTTCTCATTGGCTCCCTTCAGGCCCTGGAAGGCCACAATTCGGTCACCCCAAAGCTTCTCTTTTCCAGGCTGAACAATCCCAACTCTCCCAGCCTTTCCTCCCAGCAGAGCTGCTCCAGCCCTCTGATCATCTTGGGGCCTCCTCTGGACTATCTGGATCCAACAGGTCATAGTGTTGTGCTGCTGGAAAGCCTGGTTTTACTGCCATTAGTGATGGCAAAATAAGAAAAAATGGCTTGGTGCTGCAAGACTGCACCAATTTTAGACTTGATATTTATTTAACTTTTTTTTTTTAAATTATGTTTGTAACAGAAATTAAAAGTATTACATTAAAATTAGAGATGAGCAGGTGAACTGTTATGCCAGTTATGAAATATCCAAAAATATCTTCGGGCATAATAAGCAACTTCATTATATTAATGCAAAATATTTTCATATCATTAAAAATTAAAGAACAATCCAAATGTTATTTTAGCCCCTAGAAAGAAAATAAAATCTTAATTTTTTTAAAGTTATTCCTGTGTTTTTAGATTAAATGTTGCCTACACAGCATCTTCAGAGCATTTCACTGATCTCAGAGAAAACACTGTACAGAAAATATCATCAAGCTTGAAAGGAAATAGCTGTCTGAATTACTTTTTGTCTCCTCCCTCTGCACTTAATATTAAATTATTTTAATAATTTTCAGAAACAACTACAAAGCAGTGCTGCACAACTTCTGCTAATTTGAATTTTCTCAGAAACTGCATTGTTGTTTTCACTTGAAAAAAAACAAACTCTGCTTGCTAGAAATAGTGATGAGCTGCACAGATTAGAGTGATTGTCATGGGAACGTTTTATAATTCATTGAAAGTGTATCATAATCTTGCTGTAGTTCAGTTTCCTTGTGTGGACCGTGAATCTAATTTCTAAAGCTGTGCCTGTGCAATGGTTATAGGACAGGCTTTTTGTGATTTAAATGTACAATGCATTTTCAGTTTATTGTGCATGTCCAGTGGGTCAGGGGCTTGACTTGGGGGCAGGTAGCCTGAGCTTTAGAGGTGTGGTTTTCATATTATAATGAGCTAAAGGCACAATTTTAGCTAGCTCAAGTAAAACTTATAGTACATTGCCAAACATGGTGTCACATGTCTAATTCAAGGTCTCTGATGCTGTTCTCTTTTTACTTGTTTCAAAACTATTATCACAGAGTCACAGACTGGTTTTAGTTGGAAGGGATCTTAAAGATCATCTCATTCCACCCCCTGCCATGGGCAGGGACACCTTCCACTGTCCCAGGTTGCTCCAAGCCCCGTCCAACCTGGCCTTGGACACTTCCAGGGATCCAGGGGCAGCCACAGCTTCTCTGGGCAACCTGGGCCAGGGCCTCCCCACCCTCACAGGGAACAATTCCTTCCCAATATCCCATCTAACCATATTCTCTGGCTCTTGGAAGCTATTCCCCATTGTCCTGCTGCTACAGGTCCTTCTGAATAGTCTCTCTCCCTGTTTCTTGTTATCCCCTTCAGGCCCTGGAAGGCCACAGTTTGGTCACCCCAAAGCTTCTCCTCTCCAGGCTGAACAATCCCAACTCTCCCAGCCTTTCCTCCCAGCAGAGCTGCTCCAGCCCTCGGATCCTCTTGGGGCCTCCTCTGGACTGGCTCCAGCAGCTCCATGTCCTTGCTGGGCTGTTCCCAGGGCTGGAGCAGCTCTGCAGGGGGGTCTCCCCTGAGGGGCAGAGGGGCAGAATCCCCCCCTGCCCTGCTGCCCACGCTGGGGGATCAGCCCAGGGCACGGGGGGTTTCTGGGCCGGGGCAGGTCCAGCCTCTGCCCCACCAGCACCCCCAGGGCCTTCTGCCTGGGCTGCTCCATCTGCTCATCCCCAGCCTGGATTGATCCCAGGGGTTCTCCTGACCCAGGGACAGCACCAGCACTTGGCCTTGTTAAACCTCCTGAGATTCCCAGGGGCCGCTGCTCGAGCTTGTCCAGGTCCCCCTGGATGGCCCCGTCCTTCAGGTGTGTCACTGCACCCCCAGCTCGGTGTCACCTGCAAACCTGCTGAGGGGGCATTATAACCTTTGTGTTTCCTGCTCTCTGGAGTTTTTATGGTATTTATTTGTTTCCTGTGATTGACTGTGACAAATCTTTTCCCTAAGCCATTCCTGTTCCATCACCCGTGTAAACAGGTGCTGGTTGCTGAGGCAGGGCAGGCTGTGCTGTGGGTGCCTCGCTGTGCACGGGGGCAGAGCTGTTCTGCGAGGGGCATTGCGAAGTGATCCACAACCGAAAGCTTTCCAGGCAAAATTCAAGTTTCTTTTCCAGCATTCCCTGAAGGGGAGCCTGGTTGGGGGGATGCCCGAGCAGTAGCAAAGGGGCAGGAGTGGGATGTGTGAGGGGACAGAAGGGGCTGCCAGGGCAGGTTGGGGCTGTCACTGCTGGGGACGGATCGAGGACCCCCAGGAGGCGGAGGGGGGGTCAGGGGTGTGTGAGGAGCTGCTGCAGATGGAGTTTTGGCTGCCCCACACCCCTGGGGACATGAGGCACCCATGGATGTGAAGGGCTAGCTGGGAACCTGCTTTTGAGGCCAAGCTTGGGCTGAGAGAGATTTGCAGGAAGTGGGAATTGGTTTGAATGGCCCCCTCAAACTGCATCTGTTTCACCTGTTTATTACCCTCAAAGGATATAGTTTCAAATTAAATGTGGGAGCCTCATGTTACTTATTGCTTTTGGTTTGTTGCAGGTGTATGTCTGACTTACATGTTTATGTACTTATTTAATGTTTACACCAAAGCAAAAGAAACTTTGCTTCTTTTTCCTTACACAGGCACTACTCAGCCTCTTTATAAATGCAGCCATTGCACTTCAGGAGCAAGAGTATGAGAGTGCCAGAACATTCCTACTCTGTCATACCCCTGGTTTTCCTTTAAAACTGCAGCCTAAGAAAAGCTAAATGATTGGGGTTGTGTGTGAATAAATAGATTCTTTAGCCCTGGAAATCCTAATATCATTAATTCCCAGTTTCAGTGAGCTTTAGTCACGTACCTGCTTGTTCTGTGTGTGTGCTTTGCCTAATTCAGTCTGTCCCAGTTACCACAATATTAAACATTGTCTGTGTGCTTATGAATGTATAAAATAATGGAAGAAATAGAATTATGACAGTGATACATGGATGTATTTTGGAAATCGTACACAAGCACAAGTAACCATCAATCTAGTCATGCAACAGTTTTTAGATTTATTGAGCCTATGTACTGAAAATGTTAAATGGACTCATGTATTTTAAATCACCAAGTTTGAACTGGCATAGCTGTGCTTGTTTTGTTGGTGTTGTGGTCAAATGACCTTAGGAAATACATATTTTGGAGTAAATTCCCTCTTGCTGAAATCAAGGCTGTTACTTGAAGGATAGGTGGTAGAACACATTCGAAGGCATGTTATAAATCAAAACAATTCTTTCTCTAGAAAGCTTTGATTTATGCATGTCAAATTAACTTTTCCAAACTTGCTGTAATTTATCTCAAACATGAGAATTCTCAGGAAAAGGAAAATGAAATGTATTTGCACTGTGCACTCAAGGTAAAGTTTTTGACTCAGTATTAATCAACAACAATGTCTTCTAGGATGATGGGAACGTAATTCAGTGGATACCTTTGGAGCAGCAGTCGCTCTCTGGGCTGACAGAGGGACCAGAAAAAATGGTAAGAAAAACTCTCCTTTTAGCAGGATTTTTTTTTTTTTAATCCACTACAATAATAATGCAAAAATGCGTGTTAGGAGTTTTGGTGGCGAAGAGCTGAACAGATAAAGCAGATAAAAAATGAACTGTTTAACTGGTATAATATTAAAGAAAGTTAGCGTGATGGTTTATTATCTGCAGAGGTACAAATAATGTGTCGTTTCTTCTGTTCTGCATGTACAAAAAATAGTCCTACGATCTGGGATAGATTTATTATTCTTCATTGATTGCCTCATTCTGTTGGAGGACATTTCTGGCAGTAAAGTAGAAGACCTGTCACATCTATCATGAGGTGTCGGAGATCTGTCAGGTCTGTGCCTCTTTTTTGAACTTTGCTGTTTCAGAAAAATGTAGCTGAGCATTATAGGCAGAAGTCTGACATTTCCAAGATGAAAATCAATCTTCTTTTATGTGGTGTTTCTCAAAGAAGACTCGCTTTGATTGCACAAGTGGTGGTTTCACATGTTGGAGGACACCACGTGGACACCAAATAATTTGGGTAACAGATTTGACGGGTGTTCTGTAATGGAAATAAACTGAAGAAATGATCATAGAAGAGATACTCAAGTCAAGATAGCAGAACAAACACTGATCTGCTGTTGTCACAGCTGTGAACCTAAAGGTGTTTCTTTCTGGTTCTTGCATTTTCTTGTATTTCTTTTTAAAGCTGGGGACTAACAAGGTAAACACAGCCTGTTGTGAATTACTATTCCATGTTATTCCATATTTAGAGGGGGGAAAAAAGAAGAACTGTTAAAATGAATTGCTAAAAGTGTGAGAAACAATGAGATGTCCTAATGTACAGGAAGGGAGGTCAGATGAAACACACTGAACTTGAAAAAGGAATGTTAAAAAAAATGTTTAAGCAATTTATTTAATTGTAAAATACTTTGAAACCTAGAGACCCATTGTGCCAACACAGGTCGTTGTGCGGGTGATCAGCACCTGGGCTTTTACTTATGCATTGTGGTGTTACTAGAGACAAAAAAGGCTAGTTGTATGTTAGTGTCTGTGTCTAGAGACAGCAGAAGTCTGGGGAGAAGGGCACCATGGAGCCACAAACAGCCAGACAAGCACAGATCGTAAGATGCTGGGAGTGTCATGGGAAAATATTTTTTTGTTAGGTTGCTTCCCAGGGCAGATGTCTGGAAATAATGAACAGAGTGGTCTTGTTTCCTTAGTAGTTGCATTCAGGGAAATCTTCATCAGAGAAATAAATCAGTAAACTAACGTTGTGATACTCAGTTGTCCCGTTCCAATAGGGAGAAGCATGGAAATTCCCATGAAGGAGCCACTTTGGTTCCTGGGTGGGACCATGTGGGATGAAGAATTACCTCCATATGCACATGTCTGTGCTGATGGTTTCAGCTGCCTTTGATTTTGATAGACCTGTACCTTTGGTAAAGACACATGGCATAATTGAAGCAGTATTCAGGTGGTCAAGTAGCACTAAGGAGAAGAAATGCAGAGAAATCAAAAGAACTAGCGGGCAGAATTTGGATTTACAGTCATCAGTCATAGAAACAGGCATGAGCTGAGTGATCTCTGTTTGTAACAAATACATGAAAAAAATCTATATGAATGTAGCACTGAAATGTGATATAGTATTCTTAATTTTTTTTTTTTAATCCACCCTGAGCAAAGACAATCATTGTATGAAAACGTCTCTTTCCTGTCACATACCAAGAGCATCCTGTGGACCTCTTGCCTGTACTGATTTTACAGAGGCACATGTTTTCACCAGCCTGCATAGCTCACAAAGCTAAAGAGTTTTCATTTTTAAATATTTTTAAAAATCAGTTAAGATAATTAGTAGCTATTTATATCAAGAGGTTTTAGCTTGGTAGGTTCTCAATTTAGTCACTCAAACATGCCCTGATATTCTACACAGATGATACTGTGTCAGCCACAAAATACTGCCTCAATTATTTTAAGCAGTTTAGCAATGCATGAAATGCATATTTAGAGCAGGAATAGTCTCCTATCTTTAGGTTTCTAGCAATTATTTAATTTAAGACAACAACAAAAGTCCCTAGAACACGCAAATAGTCTTAAGTTTAAATAAGATGACAGGTAAGATGGATTGATAATTTCTCCTCCCTATATTTATTTTTCTTCATAAGTTGAAAAAAAATATTGGCTATTTCCAGGCTTAAGGCACTGAGAGAAACAAATACATTCAGTTCCAGAGCAGACTCCATTAACACAGATTGCCTTCAGCCTATTAGGCCTCATCACTGAGATGTTCTAAACAAGTGTTTGTTTCTAAAAGCTCTGGAAGCAAAGGAATTAAACCCCCCCCCCCCTTAGTTTTAAAAGCATGTTTTTTGAGCCTTAATAAAATGACACTTTGTCTTACTTTTGTGTCTCCAGTCATGCAGGAAATTAGAGGACTAGTTCCTTCCTGCAGACTTTGGGTTTCAGGCTTCAGGCTCAATTTGGCAGGTTATATTGCTCAAATTAGCTTGTAAATGAGATATTTGTTTCTAAAGTACAACTGATATCAACTTGAATGCAAATGCTTAGAATATGAACATGTCTCTCATTTGATTCTGTAATTATATGATGGTTTTTCTTGTCAAGAGAGCTCAGAAGCTTAGTATTGATTTATGTTATTGAGTTTCTCAAACTGCAATGTGTCATTGTTAAGCATAATTTAGAATGGCCTTTTTTCTCTCCTCTAATCTTGTATGTGGCAAAGCTTGATCTAATTTGGGGCTGGAATGATCTCAAGAATCTTTTAACTCTTGTGCGCGTGTAGTGACGGTGGCACGTCTGGAGGAAGATGATGTCATTAAGATGTCTGATTTCTTTATGGTTGTCTGTCTGATATGAAATGATATTTTCAAGCCAGGCCTGAGTACTTTTAGCATGAGAGAGGTTTCTGTGGGAATCCAGGTTTGGAGGGAATCTTCTGCTTGTCAGGTGGGGAGGGGGTCACCTTCAGCACACGACTTGCATTAAGGCACGAAATGGCCCGTCTGGAGAGATGGTTGCTGTCCACCCCACCCATGCTTCAAGCCTGAATCCCACCTGGGGAAATAATGGATTTTGGCAGGTGCTAAAGTCATTTTAGAGTGCTGGCCTTCACGTGTTGCAAGAGAAACACCAGAATTACTAACATTCCTATCCGGTGGGTGTCATGTGATGCTTTGTGTTTTCCTGGCGCTGCAGAAGGTGACCATGGATGCTCTGGTTGCCTGTGCACACACTGCACTTGAGGTGCTGCAAGGTGCTGTGCTGACCCCCCAAAGTCAACCAGAGCTGGAAAGGGGGGTGGAACAAGATGTGCTTTAGGTCTCTTCCAACCCAAGCCATTCTCTGATTCTCTAATTCTGTAATTAGTAGATGCTGGGCTGTAATAATACATTAAAGGGGAACTATATGGAAGGAACACAGTGCCTTTTTTTTCTGCCCTTTTTTTTGCTTGTATTTGCATTCCAGACCAATCCAACGAACCATCTGTTCAGACTTAAGAAAACTGTAGTCTGGGCCCTAAAACCTCTTTTCAAACTGCTGCATTATAATTGCCCAGTTCAAAGGAGGCACATTAACCTGATGTGTTTAACATGTAGATAAATAAATGCACAAACCTGTTCCACATCTTCGATTCATTTTGATACCAAAACTAAAATAATGACGTTGGAAATTGATTTCAGCTTTTGCTTTATAAATTGATCGGGATATTCTGAACATGAAATTCTTCTGGAATTTCTTTTGAAACATTATGTGTTATTTGAGAGACAGTTTGTGCAGTGTGGAAATTCATGTTTGACACATGTTGACATCGTGATCAGAGCTCTTGGTTTCCCAGTTTGTCTGCGTGGCTGAGATGAAAACGAGATGCTGGTCTCAAACCAGGACCCAGCAGTGTTTGGATCAATTGACTCTCTCAGTCCTGGGTGCTTTTGTCTGTGTGCTGAAGCTGTGGTCCCAATCCCTTCCCTTGGGTAAGCCAGGGATGTAGGCAGGTGTTTTGTCTTGTTTGGTTTGGTTTGCACTGGGAGGTTTTTTCGTTAATTCAGTGTTAGCCATTCGAATCTGTTGGATTGAATCTGAAGTGTTCGGGTTTCAGGACTGCTGTCCTCATCCCACATGTTCCCCAACTGGTGGAGGATAACTAAGTTAGAAGGTATTAGCAGCTCTAACAACACAGCTTTCCTCTTGAGGGCTGACTGCCAGGGGAATCTGGGGCATTGGTCGGTTGCAGTTTTAAAAGGATCATCAGAAACATGAGGTGGGGAAGAATCCAGCAGAGAAAAATGGTGAGATAGGCAAAGGTCCCTGAGCATCCTCAACTACCTTGTTAGGGAAACAACCTTAGAAATTGTAAGGAAGCTGATAACTGTTCTTTTGTCTGCCTTTTGTTCATGGAACAGCATTTCTGTGTCTTCATGGACTGGCTGGTGTCAGAGAGGTTTGTTATCATCACGTTTTGTCCTTGTGAAAGTAATCAAGTATGGGCCTCAAACTGCCATGTTGCTTAGAACAGCATGTACCTGGAGGTAAGTCCTCCAGTTGAGATGGTTTTGCCAGATAAAATAGGCCTCCTGGTTGAATGCTGTCAATGTGCAGTCCTTCTTTTCTACTCACTCACAGTTGTGAAGGGCAGGATATACACTAACAATGACATCTGTGCAATTTCTCTTTCCAAAATGACACCCCCTCCCAGATGTGCCTTTAATGACTGTTTCATACCAACCCATTTTCATCTTTGATAAAATTGCATTAATTACTCATACTCATGTATTCGCTTTGCTGTGAAACAGAACCAGTTTTCTTCATGTTATTGCCAAGCCTTCTGTGACGAACCGAAACAGATGATCTGCAGTATTTGTGTCATCATACGAGCTCTTTGAAGCACAGGCTGAAGCAGCAGAGGTGTTCTTCAATCACTGGGAGTGCATTTTTGCCTTGAGGATTGCAAATAGAGGATGTTTTCCCATCCTGTACGTACACAGA